TGTCTCTTAGTGTTATATACGAATATTCGAGAAAGATAAGGGGAGATTACTCCCCTATCTATATCACTATAAATAAAAGCGTGGGCCGCTTGTTTAAATACTTATTATTATAGCGGCCAAAGCTTTTATTTATAAATATTTATAAATAGAAGTGCATTAATATATTTAAAGAAAGTAGTTTTTTTATATTTAAAGTAACCGAAGATTTATTATCTTTTTAAAATTTATTTTATATTTAATAAAATTTTTATTATTTTCTTCTTTTTAGTGCATTTATAAAAGCTTGTAATTATAAACGTTTTTATGTATTTATTATTTTTATACTTTTTAGTTTTAACGAGTTATACGCATGTTAAGACAATATAGTGTAGCAACAAATATATGGGCTTATGCGATGGCGAACAATGACGTAACATGCAGTCGCTTGGAACTTCTAGCGGTTAATTTAAACAGTACATTATTATTGCATATTTACCGTATCTTTTTTTTTTTTTTTTTTTTTTTTTGCTTTTTATTACATGTATTATGAGATGGCGTAGTCTAGTGATAAAGAACTAGACTGCTGACCCGACTAAAATTCATCGCGCCTATTGAACGTGATGACGCGCTTTTTACGTAGAGCCCCCCCCCCCCCTTCCCCCCCCCCCCCCCCTCTCGCTCCACGCCCAACACGGCCGTGATGACGCGTGTGGATAGAACTGCCTACTAATTCGGTCCAAATTTTAATTAATTCATACAAAATTAATTAGGCAACCAGTTAAGTCAAATTGAATGTCACGATGCATTGTCTTCATGCCTTGACCCACGTACCAACTACGAACCGTACCTGTCAGTTAGAAGTGCCTGCAATTTTACACGGGCGTTTCGATCTAGACAGACAGACAGACAGACAGAGGTAGTGAGTGTAATAAAAGCTTGTAATAAAAAAAAATACATAAAAAACGTTTTAATAACAAGCTTTTATGTAATAATGCACTAAAAAGTAAAAAATAAATTATAGACTACTATTTAAATAACTATAAAGAAAAGCGTGGGTCACTTTAGTATCTGTTGGATACCTTTACTAATGTTAAGGAAGACACCCACGCTTTTGTTTATAGTTATTTAAATAGTAGTCTATAATTTATTTTCTACTTTTTAGTGCATTATTACATAAAAGCTTATTGTTAAAACGGTTTTTATGAATTTTTTTTTCAGTACTTTACATGTTTTATTTACAATAGAGTTACATGACTAAAAACCATTGCGCGCCTACTGAACGTGATGGCGCAGCTATTGACCGTGATGACGCGTGTGGTGGGGTTGGATATGCCTACTAATTCGGTCCAAATTTTAATTAATTCATAAAAAATTAATCAGGCATCCAATTTGAAGTAGAAGTGTCCGAATTTTCACTCCGGCGTTTCGATCTAGACAGACTGACGACAGAGGAAGTGAGTTAAATAAAAGCTTGTAAAAAGTACTACTTTTTGTACTATTATACGCACATTGTTTGTGTTCATTTGGCGCCCAGCTGTTTTTAGTGAAACAATTGTCCTGTATATAATTTTTTAAACTATTGAAAAATAATATTAAACGTTTTAATAAAAAGATTTTATATAAATATGCACTAAAAATTAGAAATACGTGATTTGCTGTAATTACTTAACAATCAACTGAGAGACTTACGATTAAAACCGGCTGTTCAATGGTATCTGTGTTGTTGTTTTTTAAACTAATTTTATTATTTTACGACTAGAAAATTGTATAAATTTCATAACGTACATCTGGATAAGTAGATTTATAGATCTGTAATAATTGTAAACAATTAGATTGTTTTTGGCTTTCTTTCAATTTTTTTTAGTTACCGAAAATAATAAACACACGTTACATTCAATCTTTAGTAAAGTCCAAAAAAAATCAGTCAGGGTTATATACTCATAGTTATTTTAATAACATCGTTCATTGTTTTAAAAAAATATTTAACGGGCCTTTCGAATAATTTCTCGAATGAGCCCATTAAAAGTCAGTCAGCCGCAACCTTTGTGCTGTATTATAATAGAAAGTTTGATAGACCGGATGTTTTTATGAGGAAAAGCTTATTTTTTGCATCATAGAGTAAAAATAAAACTAAAACAGGAAATCAATTAAATGTAAAAAATGTCAGGACAATGGCTTCTAGGAGGAACGCGTCTTTCTTAATATATATGACGTTTAAATTTGCTCAAAGGCTTATTGTCAAACTCATTAGTAATTACCAGTGGTAGATTTGTGAGACATTTTTAACCGTTTTACCTGTCGTTAGCAGGCATCTAGGCTGTAAGCGTCAGGCGGACATTTTAAAAGTCGACGTCCGGTCACCCACTGATAACTGCTACAGGGCCCTTGACTAAATACTTCGACCGTGTTCTATAAGCCTAGTGGAGTGGAACGTCAATTGTTCCATAAACCTAGTGGAGCGGAACGTAAATTGTTCCATAAGCCTGGTGGAGCGGAACGTATTATCTAGGCCTGCGAGAACAGGCATGCTCTGTGTTTTACTGCTGTAGCAGTGTCAAGATCGTGTATCTGTGGATGCGAATTAGTTGAGTACCCCATAAGTTTTCTCTCGTGAACAGTGCAGGCCATACATCCTGCAACTGGTCAGACGGAACTACCTTATTCAAGAAAGGATGTTTATAGGCCACCATGGCAGCTACAAGGGCACTTGAGATTGTGTATCCTACGAGTGCTTAGTTTCTGTCTGTGGTTTGGGGTATCCATATAAGTTGTTGAAAGCGCCTTTGTCGGCCTTGAATGAACACATTACAAACGCCTCCCGAGGTTAGTATTAGGCTTCTTAAATAAGGGTATTCTATCGGTCCACTGATTGGGGGTCGTCCATTTATTTCACGCTTCAGTTGAGAAATGATATACCCCCGCGAAATCAAGGAGAACGGTACACCCTTGACAGAACACTAAGTGTCGGACTCAGCTTAGGGTACGTCAAGGACATCAGCTCCGACACTACCACTGCCATGTCGCCATGGTTCGTGACGTCACTTCTCGTGTGGAGTTGCTGGTGATCTCCCATCTAGCGCCTCCCCGGGCGCCGGATTGGGGAGCGCCCGCCAAATCTGGTGGGGACATAAAAACACCAGCTTTATTATTTTATCGTATTGAACTTAATGTAATGTTTTTATTTTGTATCTATGCATTCCTTTAATTCTTAAATTTAAAGTTACTGGTTTTTAATAAATCAGCATTCGTTTCTGCTCTGAAGTCATTCTGTCTGATATGTCCTTGCAATAAACTTGCTTTCAATGTTGTGAAGGCTGAATAGCTATGAGCTGTGGGCTGTGTTCATTCGAGCAATCGTTCCATTTTGAAGTTATTATTGGGGAAAATGCCTTAGGGCAAACGGCCTTCGAGAAAATGCCCGGCTCCCCAATACCACTGTTGTGAATGGTATTTTGGTGTACTGAATGGGTATGAGAGTATGTTTGTAGTGGGATGTGCTATATTAATAAAAGATGTGAATGTGACGAGTCAAGAAAGGATGTGACGTGTGAGAATAGGATTTTGTTATTAGGTAAAGGGGTTGAAATCAGTCTTCGTCATGTCTTGTTAGGGTGTGGATGTCTTTGTCTGTCGTCGTAGATATAGTCATGTCCGTTGTATGCAATTAAACTATGTGTTCATTTTTAATTGTATTGGATCGTCGTCTTCTGTCATTCGATCCTGTCCTCACATCGCATTCATAACAACCACCACAGCCAGTTTCTAGTGCTAATTAAATTAAGGTCCATTTTTCTAAAACTTCAAAACTGGCACGTTATAGCAACAAATACGAACTACGTAACATGAAAGATGCTGGTGTAGTTGCTTCCAGCTATAACAATTGCTTCTTCGTTGTGCAGAACATCTACGCTTATAACTATTATTAAAACCCATTCATTTGGCAGCATAGATACTGCTTGCTGGGCAAAACAAAACAAAATTGTATGTATATACATTTTATTTTTTAAATTTGTATACGATGCTCAGGGAATACTGAACACAAAATGTAACAAAGTATACACATGAACGCAGAAAATTTTCTTTTTTTCCGGATTTTTATGAGTCATCTTTAAATAAAATAAGTACTTTTACTGCGTCGCTTCTGTATCCACTCTCCACCATTTTCTCCTAGCATGTCATTGTTAATAATTCTTATCAACATCTTGTGTGTTTTTGTTACTTGCTTTAAGCAAGGGAGGTCCAAACTTTGCTGTACATTGACATGAAGACATAACAGTTGACATGACTTTTCATTTGTCATTTCCTGTGTAACTTTGCACCACTAAAACATTTAAAATTAACCAGTCAAATTTACAACATTGTAACATCTGTACCTTGGCTGTGTTTTTTCTACTCAGCCGGTTTGTGAAAGTGAAGCACACTTTCAGTGTGTCGCTAAACCTTTAACAGCTGAACATGACAAAATCACTCCCCACCGAAAAACCGAAAAACCACCTTTGCGGCGGTGCACAGCGATCATAGTTGTCACTTCCTAAGCTTCCGGATTCGTTAACGACAATACAATTTCCGCTTTACTCTAAGCAGGGCATCGGCGCTTTTGGTATCGGGGAAAGTGAAATAATGTCGTAAATAATTCTAAACATCCCTCCCTCCCCCCCCTCCCTCCAGCACCCACCTACCCACCCACCCACTGGGGGGCGGTAGACTTTCTTCGGGGGTGGGGGGGGGGCGGACACTGTTAAAAGAATATATTTTCTATATAAATTATATAAATTCCATTTCGTTCGGGGGGGGGGGGGGGGGGGTGGCTGTAGACTTTTTTCGGGGGGGGGGTCTCCGCTCCCCTAAAGAGATGCCTGGAAGAAACTCTAATCGTCAGCCATCCAACGCTAGACCTAGATCTAGTAATGATTTTGTTTTCTAATGTTTTGCAACACGAATGGGAAATTCCCTGTCGCCAGCACCCAAACAAAATGTTACAGAACAGGATGGAATCTTTTGTTTGTATTTTAAATGTGAGTCTCGATTTGTAGATTGTAAACAAAAATATAAAGAGTGTTGCACTACCATTTTAAATCAGGCGCAGAGGTAGTGCACATTATAAGGTAATTGTACTGAGGTTTTTGTATATTTTCTGCGGCATCGCTGTATTAACATTATGTCCAAGTATCGCTAATTCAGAACTAGACAATGACTAGAGACTAGACAGATGCGATTATAGCACTAGCTATATTAAGATCTAGACTAGATCTAGATTTAGGTATCTAGGTGCTGAATCATTCATAGTCTTAGCTCTAGTCCTTAATTATCTTCGTAATTAGTCCTAGACTTAAAATACCCTAGACAGCCATTAACCCTTGCCCTAACCTATCCGTGTACTTTGTCCTAGGGTTTAATTATCCAATGTCTTAGCCGTAGCCCAAAAACTATCATCAGACGTAGCCCTAAAACTATCATCAGCCGTTGCCCTAACATTATCATCAGACATAGCTTTATCACTATCATCAGACATAGACATAGCCATAAAACTATCATCAGACATAGCTTGTTACGCTATCCCTTGGACATAGCCCCAGCAATGACACCGTCACTTGTCCTAAGGCTAACAGCATCCATAGATATTCATACCCCTAACCCAACCAGTCTCTAGACTTAGTCCTAACACAACCAGTCTCTAGACTTAGTCCTAACCCAAACACTACCTCTAGACTTAGTCCTAACCCAAACTCTACCTCTAGACTTAGCCCTAACCCAAACACTATCTCTTCTAGACTTAGCCCTAACCCAAACTCTATCTCTAGACTAAGTCCTAACCCAAACTCTATCTCTGAACGAAATCTTAACAATCCCTAGACAAAGCCCAAGCACTGTTACATTTTGTACACAATTTCGAACCCTCTTTCCCCAGACAGTCCCAACCATAACACTGCGTTTACATTTGCAAAATGTATACTATATGTCTAGAAAAAATTACTTCGCCATAAACTAGTAGCCATCCCCCCCCCCCCCCCCATCCATGATCTGATACAATTAACTTATGTGAAAGTTGTTATATTTCCTTTCCAGACGTGTAAAGCATACATTTGGCAAGTGTAAATGTGGTGTTACTCTGTCCCTTTACACAGACTTATCCACGACCAGTGTTTCTTCCAGACTTTTTTCTCCGGGGGGGCACTTGAAATCTTCGGGGGGGCGGTAAACTTTCTTCGGGGGGGGGGGGCGGACACTGTTAAAAGTATATATTTTCTATATAAATTATATAAATTTCATTTCGTTCGGGGGGGCGGTAAAAATTTTTCGGGGGGGCGAAACGACACTTACGCTACTTTGTTCCCCGTATATCTTAGATCAGGCACTGCTTAGCTAAGCGACAGGTTGTATTTTGTCTCATCTGTCCACTTGTGACGTCAGAAACAGCGATGTGATGCGGGGATGGATTGTTGTGACGCTGCCGCTTGTGGTCATCGCCTTACTCACGCGGAGGACAACAAGTGGTAGGTACACGCGCGTGTGTCACGTGCGTAAGTATGTCACGTGGGTGAGTATGTCACGTGCGTGAGTATGTCACGTGTGTGAGTATGTCACGTGAGTGTGTATGTCACGTGCGTGAGTATGTCACGTGCTTGAGTATGTCACGTGTGTGAGTGCGTGCGTGCATGTTTGTGTGTGTGTAAACATTTGTAACTGCACAGGTAAATATATTGCATTAGTTTTGTGCTAATTATAACAAAATATAAATGTGCATGCCTAATTACAGGTATGTTTGCGTGTGTAAGCGTGTATGTGTACGTGTATGTGTGTGTACGTGTATGCCTGTGTCTTCGTGTATTCTTGTGTGCGTGTTTGTGTTAAGTGTGTTGGGCTCTTTCGTCTATAGGATAATGTAGGGCAACACATTACTTATAACACAATAAAATAGACTCGACAATGCTTATAAGGATAATAAATAATAAGAATAACGTTTAATTACATATAGATAAATAATACAAGAATAATGATACAACAATACCCAACACACTCGTCGTCTCTCTGTCAACAAATGCCAACCAACTGCCACACACTAACACACTCTCTGTCACTCGTCAACTGCCACACACTAACACACTCTGTCAGTCGTCAACTGCCAAACACTAACACATCGCTCTTTCACTCGTCAACTGCCACACACAACACTCACTGTCCGTGAACACCTCTCATCCCAAAACACAACAAACAAACCAAGGGCTACAACTACGTACCTTAAAACACCAGGCTACACAATCAGGGATGGCATCTTTTAATATCATAACACTGAGATGCGTGTGTTTTGATGTATTTTCTGTGTGTTGTATGTGAGGAATGAAGCTCTGACAGTAACACACCACTCACGTCTGCCTACTCCCCCCCCCCCTCCCCAGCTCAATGTGAATATGGCTTCTTCGGCCCAAGGTGTCAGTTCAAGTGCCACTGTGACCAAATGAGCTGTGACGACAACGGTTACTGTACGGGCGGTATGGCATGCGACCCTCCATACTTTGGACCGGCTTGTCAGTATGGTGAGTCTGTACACAGAATTGTTAGGCCGCCCACGTGATACACATAGAACACACACACATAACCTAAAACTAGCCCTCTTAAGTCTTAGCTCCTAGAGCTTACATGATTACATCTGATAGGGCTAAACGTAGGGGGTAGAGCTTGAGGTAATAATTGGGGTAGAGCTTGAGGTGATCAGTGTTTCTTCCAGACTGTTTTCCCCAGGGTGGGGGGGGGGGCACTTGAAATTTTCGGGGGAGGGTAGACTTTCTTCGGGCGGGGGAGGGGGGAGTGGATGCCTGGAAGAAAGTCTGGAGGTAATACTTGGGGTAGAGATTTGGGTAGGGCTTGATAAGGCTTGGGGTAGGGCTTGGGGTAGGGTTTGAGATAATATTTGGGTGAGGGCTTCGAGTAGGGTTTGATGTAATAATTGGGGTAGGGCTTGAACTAGACTCGTGTTACCTGTCCCTCCCAGTGGACAGGTCCCCGCTAGCCGACACGGACAACAAAGAGCTGACCGACTTCAACGACGCCACCTGCGTGACGTCTGCCACCACACATACCGTGACCTTCACCTTCAACTCCTCCGCTCCCGTGGTGATACAGTTCGTCCGCTTGAGGGTGAGTAACCCAGGTGAGTGTCTGGTGCATGCTGCTCAGTCTCGTGGCTCCACTTCATCCGTGTGAAGGGATGGGGTGGGTGGTGGAGGTGGGGTGAAAATGTGATTGTCCTGTCTGAGCTACTTTTAAAGATGAGCTTTCTACTTGGAAAAGGGGGTTACATTGGTAGTGGCTAAAGTTGCCATGTGTCTTTGAGATTATGTGCTAAAAGGCTACCAAAGCCGATGAGATATATGGGCTAAATGGATAAATACCCAAATAAGCTATATGGCGATATTGGCTACATATACAGCTTTAATATATGGGTTATGGGGCTTTATATGCCGGTACGTTGCATGAGCTATGGGGGCCACATAAGCCACTCAGCTAAATATAGCTACCTAGGCCTGTGGACCTAGACACTGAAGTGCTAGGTGGCAATATCTATACACTACACACTTCAACATGAGTACAATATCTAAACACTACACACTTCAACATGAGTACATTATCTAAACGCTACACACTAAATACAACATCAGTACAATATCTAAACACTACACACTTCAACATGAGTACAATATCTAAACACTACACACTACAACATCAGTACAATATCTAAACACTACACACTACAACATCAATACAATATCTAAACACTACACACTACAACATCAATACAATATCTAAACACTACACACTTCAACATGAGTACAATATCTAAACACTACACACTACAACATCAGTACAATATCTAAACACTACACACCACAATACAACTGCAATATCAGTTCTACGAAGCTTTGCTTGCATGTTTTAATTCGATAACGTTTGTAGCGTGCAAAAAACTCATTCAGAGATACAATCATCGACACACACTAACAAACTTCACAGTGAAGATGGTCAAATTGTTACAATCGGGGACTGTGTGGTCGGGCCGGTTTAGCTCATGGCTGCTTAAGTCCGAGTTCGAACCCCCGGGCAGATGAGACTGAATGGCTGGCGATAGCGACCCATCTAGGAGAGACTCCAAAATAGAACAGCCGCTGCCTTGTAGTTTGTTCTTGGTTGGACAAAGGTTATGGCAGCAAATCCAGAAAGAAAAGCAGACTAAAGATCCGTCCTATATTGCAATTAAGTATGAAGAAGAAAAAAAAAGTTACCAAGAGATATACTTATAGTAATGTATGTATTTTGATGTTAGTAAGTTGAAAAAAGTTCATTTTTGTAATAGCTCCTTGGCTGTTATAATTACTTTCTCAATGGATAACAATTCTTTGTAGATGCGGCAGGCTTGAAATAGTGGATAACTTATAATTTTTAGACTACAAGACTAATTGTCCCTGTTTACTGCATAATTAGTTAGCTTAACCCCATTGGCCACCAGATTACAGAGACCTCATCCAGGCAACCGTCGTGGGTTCTATTTACGGCTGCACCGACCAAGTCCGCGTGGAGGTGGATCACGTGACCTCTGACATCTACTGCCGGAACTTTGTCCCTGTGGTCACCGTGAGGCTGACGGGTGATGGCGTCAAGTACCTGTGTACGGTCCACCAAAGTGGGGGTAAGTGTGTCTGTACGGTCTACCACAATGAGGGGGGAGGGGGTGTCAGATACTCGCATCAAACCTACCTACGTCTTTGGCTTATTCGAGAGATAGTTTATCTACTCTAATGGTGGCCCTTGCCCAAGCTTCAACTTATCATAGCACAGACTCTTGCCTTGACTCTCCGAGACACTAATCTTAATCCGGCATATAAGATCGGATTTAGATTATCATACAGTTGTGTTTGTATTTTTAGGAATCATTAATTCTTTACTCTTATTTATTCGCCCATTACTAATTACCGCGATTACTAATAACATATTACTAATAACAAATAATCATTGAACAATTCCCTCCCCAAGGTCGAAATATGGCCTTGAGACAAAGAACAACCAGCTCTTTACCAGAACCGGGTTCCACAGCTGACATAGGTGTCGATGACGAGAACGAGGCTCTGGACTCTACCACCTGTTTCTGGGCAGAGACTCGCCAGCTGTACACCTGGTCGGTCATCTTCAGCACACCTGTCAAGGTGTTTTCTGTCTTCATCCAGAACAGGAAAGGTGAGGGGTTGCTTACGTGCTGGTTCTGCTGCTTCTTACTCGACTGACTCCTCTTACTTCACTTTTTACTCAACAAAATTACTTCCTACTTTACTCGACAATCTTATTTCGCTCTTAACTCAGCAATCAAAATTCCCACTTTACTCAACAATCTTACTTCGCCATTTACTCGACTATCTTTTTTCGACTAAACTAACCCTTTTTTTGCACTGTAATGAATAATCTTACTTCGCACTTTACTCAACTATTTTTCTTGGAACAAAATTGACAACTTTAACATATTGAAGACCTACTGGAAAAGACAATAAATACAGTTCACTGAAGATGGATTGTTTAGAAATGTCATAGAATCACCCCACTGCTTCGGATTGTATTTTAAAAAATGTTATAGAATCACATCCTGTTACAGATGGTATTTTGGACATGATGGAAGATGTTAGAGTGGAATGGTTCCACAACACCACTCAGTTGTACCAATTCGTCTGCACCACTCCGCAGGAAGAGTATTACATCCCTTACATAGGACCGACCAACATGTCCGTCACATCGCTCTCTGCGTGGCCGGAAAGGAAGAACTCACGCTTGGGGAAATTCGCGCTGTCGTTCTGTGAGCTCAACGCGCACGGGGGTGAGTGGGTTTGCTAGGGTGGATTGTGTTGTGGTCAGAGATGGATTGTGTTGGGGTCAGGGGTGGATTGATTTAGGGTCAGGGGTGGATTGTGTTGGGTTCTAAGGGTGGATTGTTTTGGGGTCAGGGGTGGATTGTGTGGGGGTATAAGGGCGGATTGATTTGGGGTCAGAGGTGGATTGATTTAGGGTCAGGGGTGGATTGTGTGGGGGTCTAAGGGCGGATTGATTTGGGGTCAGGGGTGGATTGAGTATATATATATATATATATATGACCAACTGTACCTAACCTAAATGTTCCATGTCCACAACTGTTCCTAGCCTCCAAATGTTCCATGACAAATCCACCATTGTACCTAGCCAAATTGTCCCATATACCCACCCATTAAAATATCACGTGTTCACCAGACTGCCTTGAAGGCACCTCAGGTCTAGATTGTTCTGGAACCTGCTCTCACTGTGCCAGCAAACTCTGCAGCATCGAAGGAATCTGTTACGAATGTTCCAGAACAAACGGTCTGTTGACCTGTCATAAATGTAAGTCATTCAGAGTAGAATACAACAACAGAATCATTTTACTTTTGATTTTTTTAAATATCTTTTTTGAAGAATCTGCATGAACAAATGCAATTATAAGAACATTAGGACAAAAAAAATTATTAAACTAAACATAGAAAACCTAAACACATTTTTGTTCAGTAAAAACTGCATTTTTAAATTTGTACACTAAGGTTAGCATTAAGGTTATGAAATATTTGGGTTTACAGTTACTTAGTTTTTATGTTTAAATTGCGGTCTCAAACAATGTTAATGTTGATCTACTAAATATATAATATTTCTCCATAATGTATTAAGCAAAATATCGCTGTCTTCTACTGACCATCAGATTTCTTTAATTTTACATACTTTATCATCAGCATATTTTACTAAATGTATCTATTCTATATTTAAACTGACCGTAACTTCACTATATTACACTGCCCATAACATTTCTATACTATACTGTCCATAATATCTCAGTATTTCACCACCCATACAATTTCTATATTAAACCACCTATAACCACCATGCTGCCCATAAAATATCTATATTCTAGTGTGTCTGAACTGCTATAAGAACCGCTGTGATTGGACATCTCATTTATGTACTGAAGGATGTGAGACCGGCTACTACGGCCGTTACTGTGATAAGAGTAGGTTTCCGCTTGTTTATGTATTGGTTTGATGCTGGTGGAGATTTGTAAACAACAAAGTTTGTCACCTAGCTGACAAATTTTCTATTGAAGTGCCCACGTTCTTTCTTATGTACGGAGTCCTCAACATCACCCTCCACACCTACCTCAACGACACCTCATACATCCAAGCCTCACTCGTCCAAACCTCATCCATCCAAGTCTCACTCGTCCACACCTCATCCATCCAAGCCTCGCTCGTCCACACCTCATCCATCCAAGCCTCACTCGTCCACACCTTATCCATCCAAGCCTCACTCGTCCACACCTTATCCATCCAAGCCTCACTCGTCCACACCTTATCCATCCAAGCCTCACTCGTCCACACCTTATCCATCCAAGCCTCACTCGTCCACACCTCATCCATCCAAGCCTCACTCGTCCACACCTTATCCATCCAAGCCTCACTCGTCCACACCTCATCCATCCAAGTCTCACTCGTCCACACCTCATTCCTCCACACTTCCCTCCTTCGTGCCTCACTCTACACACACCACTTAGATGTGACAGTGACGGGAACAGGTGTGACATTAAATGACAGGAACAGGTGTGACAGTAAGTGACGGGAACAGGTGTCATAGTAAGTGATGGGAACAGGTGTGACAGTAAGTGACGGGAACAGATGTGACAGTAAGTGACGGGAACAGGTGTGACAGGAAGTGACGGGTACAGGTGAGACAGTAACGGGAACAGGTGTGACATTAAGTGACAGGAACAGGTGTGACAGTAAGTGACGGGAACAGGTGTGACATTACGTGACAGGAACAGGTGTGACAGTAAGTGACGGGAACAGGTGTGACATTAAGTGACAGGAACAGGTGTGACAGTAAGTGACGGGAACAGGTGTGACATTAAGTGACAGGAACAGGTGTGACAGTAAGTGACGGGAACAGGTGTGACAGGAAGTGTAACAAGTGTTACAGTAAATAACGGAAACAGGTGTGACAGTAAGTGAAGGGGACAGTTGTGACAATAAGTGACGGCTCCGCTGCCCCCCCCCCCCCCCAAAAAAAAACGTCTACCGCCCCCCGAACGAGATGGAATTTATATATTAAAAATATACTTTTACTAGTGTCCGCCCCCCCCCCCCGGAAAAGTAAAAGTATATATATTTTTTTATATAAATTCTGTTTTTAGGGTTGAAATGGGGGGGGGGGGGTGTTTGGCTGGCGATAATGTCTGTTTGTGTTGCGATTCATTTGTGTTGTATCTTCTAGAATGATTTTATAAGCATATTTCTAATTTTTACAGATTCCAAGCAGATGGAAAGTTACGGTAGGTTATTTTATTTTAGTCAACTATTCGACTACACTTGGCTAGTAATTGAAATTGGCCACTTAAATATTTGGCTAAAGATTTTGATACTTTATTGGCACTAATTAAAGGTAAAAACCTAAATTTCCGTTCTTTTGTTTAGCCACTCATTACTGTAGGCCACTTAATGACTACTGATTACACATAACCACGTGTTTAAGGCCTTGTTCGGCGTATGCTTATTTGAAAGACTATTTTTAAATTTAAATATGTTTGTAATGTTTGTTTGCAATGGTTGCCCAATTTCTCCAAAAGAAGGAGAGAATTTGATGTGTAACTTCGAAGCAACTAGAATAATATGCAAGGTACTGCCCGAGCAGCCATCTTCTCGGCTAGACGAAACGATTCCATGATTACTCATATTGGACTAATTACTGGATCAGCGCTCGGTGAAGTATTTTTAATTATACTAAGAATTTAACCACGATAATATAAGGAGGACTGTACTATAGTCTATATTTTAGGTCTGTAGATCTTGTTATGTTATTGTGTTCGATAATTGTTTACGAATGGACAGAAAAAAAAATGCAAATAGAATCCTAGAAAGAGGCAGAAGCGAAAGAAAAAGAAAAACAATATTAAATAAGCTGGCTAAAAAAATTTTTAAAAGGTAAATCTTATATATACGAGATAAATGGCCCGTTGAGGGAGAGATACAACGGGCGCTAGGTTAATAGTGGTGTCTTTTTTCTTTAACTCAAAAAAAAAATCACCACCTAAACTTCAAATTTAACCGGAAACGAAAAATGTCATTGAAAACGGATTTTTATCCAGAATCTGCATTTTAACCAGATTTAAGCTTGATCTACACGTAGTTACTGCACATTGATACTAAACACAGTCGAAGTCAAATCCCTAAACCTTGCACCTAATCTCAAACAAATTAAGTCGCATTAAGGTGGGGGGACGGCTCTGCCCCGAGCACCCCCCTCCCCACACACACGCTATAAAGCTCCCAGGTACAAATCCCTGAGTTCACTCAGTACTAATGAGTACCTGACTAGAGCCGGAGAGAGTAAAGTTGGTTGAACACTCCGCTGAGGACACAGAAGCAGGTGAAATCTACTTCATCTTTGCTGTGGGTAGCGTGGGGTTAATGTCTTGATCTGCAAAGCTGCTGCTCGCTAGCTGGTTGAATGAATTGTAGCGGGAGGCCAAAGCTACTTCCCAATTTGATTATACGTTGTTTTTGTTTTTTTTTGCTATCAAAACTGATGCTACAACCCAGAGGAACATATATAAAACATCTTTTAAATATATACAAAAGTTGTTTTTTTTTTAAATACAAATCCTCAAAGTACAACTTTTTAAAGCTGTTAATATGTTGTATAAGGTCAAAATACGATAGTAAAAAATCTGTTTCTTAAAAAAAAATTAAGATTTTAAAGAGATTATAATTTTGTTTGTCCCTCTTATTCCCTCCCACAGTCCACAGTTTGAACTAGGCAGAAGACAAGGCAGGAGGGACGGTCTAACCTGGTGCTACACGATTCTTTACAAGAGTGAGGGGATACATATATACATTGCTTTTATTTGGACTTTGTGCTCGAATATAATGCATAAATCTACGAGATTTACAAGAAGTGCGTAACTGAATTCTTCGCGGAAAATGTACATCCACATTCGAATAAACCAACTCTAATTCCAGCCTCATCGTACACGTACATTAAAATTTACTATTGTATTTGTCACTCACACATACATGTATGTTCCTAGTTATAACCAAATAAAAGTAAATTTTATTTTAATTGCCAGTATTTACAAAAAAAAAGAGCAATAAATCTCATAAAATTTTGAAACATATAACGTTAACGAACAGTATGTGTTATTTCAACGAAAACATTATTCTTTTTACACCCACAAATATTTTATGCATTTATTTAGCAATTTATCTTGACGTATACAATCAATTTGGTAATAAAATAATTTATTTTTACGTTGTATTTTGATTTTTGTTTATTGTACTGACATTTGTACTGACCAGCTTTGTGACATTTGTACTGACCAGCTTTGTGACATTTGTACTGACCAGCTTTGTGACATTTGTACTGACCAGCTTTGTGACATTTGTACTGACCAGCTTTGTGACATTTGTACTGACCAGCTTTGTGACAATATTTGTACTGACCAGCTTTGTGACATTTGTACTGACCAGCTTTTGACATTTGTACTGACCAGATTTGTGACAATATTTGTACTGACCAGCTTTTGACATTTGTACTGACCAGATTTGTGACAATATTTGTACTGACCAGCTTTGTGAAATTTGTATTGACCAGCTTTTTAAAACATATTTCGTTTTAATATCTTCTAAGTTATTGTAGCATGCGCTAATTGTGCTAAATGTGCTAAATTGCAACAAAACAGTAGGGGTCGGCGTGGTCGAGTCGGTAAAGCTCATGGTTGCTAAACCGAAAAGTCTCGAGTTCGAACCCTCCAAAATTAAAAATTGCTATGGAAGCAGGCTGAAATCGGAGTCAATGGCCTCAATGGCGCATATCCAGTTGACACGTAACGCTTAATTGTGTTGGAGGCGTGGTCGAGTCGGCAATAAGCTCATGGTTGATAAATTTGAACAAAGGCTCGAGTTCAAACCCACTGGCAGATAAATCTCGAATCCCCTTCAACACTAATAATTAAGAACGAAGAAGAAGAAGCAACAAAACAGTAAAATAATTTTTAAAATCTGGATGTATGTACATAGTTTTGATGGGGATATAAAAGCGTATTATTCTTTTCTTTATATAAATTATAATTAAAGAATCCATCCAGTCCAGTAGTCTTCTGGAAAGATTACAAGACTTGCTCTATACTTCGTATACTCGAGAAAGTAAAAATGGTGTATTCATTTTTCTTTCGGAAGTATTATCGAAACATGTATACATGTACACAACGCTTAAAATGTGTATGTCAATGTCATCTTCAAGCCAATCTATGGCATTCTAGATCTAGACTCTAGTGCACTGTAGGCTAAAACAATGAGCCATGTTTATCGATGTTACTATAGATTTAGTAAAAACAAATGTGTTATCAAGTTCTCTTTGAATTAGACCTCCAATTTACAATAAGTGCATTAATAATTATAGGATAGACGCTGGAACTTTACATTACAATAGATCTATTTATTATAGTTTATTCTGGACCTAGATATCTAGGAACTATTACATTTGAGGCTAAGTTTTTAACTAGCTCTCAAACCCAGCATCAGCCAGCGCCTTTATATGTCACGTAAATAGAAGTTATCATACAACATATAAGGAGCACCTTTAGAAAATACCATTTCTATACGACAAGAGGTATATATTCTCCTTATTACTAGCTTGGGTTGGTTGCGGTTGGTGTATTTAAAGACCTGTGGCAAAACAAAACAAAAGCCAATAGACAAGGACATCAAATGTTTACATGAGAATGGATTGGACATACCCTTAGAAGAGAAGAAGGTAATATTGAAAAGAAAGCTCGACAGGGGCCACAAAGGATTAAGTCAAGCTTGAACTCGTTTGTAACATCCTCATTTTATATTGTTCTTGATCCAGCATATTTAATGTTATTGAGTATATTAATTAATAATAACGGGAAATGGGCGTTTCTTTTTTTTAATTTTTTAATACACACCGTATACTGTATCAAAATGACTCTCTCCGCCCCCCCCCCAGAGGCGTAGCTGGGGGGGGGGCGGGGGGGGGGGCGGCCGCCCCGGGTGCCGACCCTATGGGGGCGCCAAAAGGGGTGGGAAATTTTTTTTAAAGCTGATTTTATGCTGCAGTTTTGAATTATAAACTGTCTAAGTTAAGAAATGTAATGGCTACACGCATTTACATACTGATTTAACTGTTTTCTATCTTGATTTCTTAATGTAAAACATATACTCTTAAGAAACAGTGACCGGCAAAACCGCTTTGAAGCTTTTCCTAGATGGGGGGGGGGGCGCTTTTTCGAGACTTAAAACGGAAGAATTTACACTAGATTGTTGAGTCGATAAACGTTACCACTATTAAAAGAAACCAATTGTATTAAAACGTATTGTACGATTGTTGAACTGTAAAATACGTTAGTGACTTTTATCAAGATGGTGCAGGGGGGCGCTTTTAGGCTAAATAAAATAGCAAAATTACACAGGATTCTGAGTAAACAACCTTTAGCTCTCAGAAAGAAACGAATTGTACTGTGCATTGCATAATTGTGTAACATTTTAAAAAAAAAAGTTAGTTACGTTAAAAACCGCTCTACAAACTTTGTCCAAGATGGTTGTGATGAGTGTGTGTGGGGGTGGGGGGGGGCGCTTTTTTCGCTAACAAAAAATCGCAAGTATTTGTACTGGATTGGTGAGTAGATAACTCTCTTAACACTTAGTAAAGAAACCAAGTGTATTAACGCGTAATGTACAATTTCAATAGCCAGTTTTGTTAAAAAAAAAGACGCGACTAGTTCTTTGTAAGATTCTTACGATTCTCTCAACTTCAACGTGAGAGATCAGATACTTTTGATCAGTGTTTCTTCCAGACTTTTTTCTCCGGGGGGGGGGGGCACTTGAAATCTTCGGGGGGAGGGGGAGGCGGTAAACTTTCTTCGGGGGGGGGGGGGCGGACACTGTTAAAAGTATATATTTTCTATATATAAATTATATAAATTTCATTTCGTTCGGAGGGGCTTAAAAATTTTTCCGGGGGGCTTCGCTCCCCCGAAAAGATGCCTGGAAGAAACTGTGTGCGAGAAGGCAGGGCAAATCTGCGAAATCCAAGACTACGAGCTGTTAACATCCGTTGGATTCCAGTTTGTTTTCTCTAGCTTGTTTTGTCATACCATCAACCAATCAACGAAATACCCATGTCGTATTCCAATGTGAACAATAAATATTTCTGATAACTTCTTCTTGTATGTCACTTGTGTGTCCTTACTCTAACAAACTTCGAATCCAACTATGTACCATATCACAACAGAGATCGTTCAAAACTAGAACATAAAAGGCTGGTCTAAACATATTAGCGTTAGCTACAAACTACCCTCTAACACAGATCAGGCTTATTTTTTTTAACTGACATTACTAATCTTTCGCAAAAAAAGTTAAACGCATCTTAATGGGAATTAAATTGTCGTAAAGTTTTAAGGAATGAAAATCATACAATGTAATTATTAAACCTTGTCCGGACTGTAGCATACACGCTCACACACACGCTTACACACACAAATACACTCTTACCCACACACAAGCTTATATATAAACACACTATCACACACACATAATTATACACACACACACACACACACACACATATATATATATATATATATATATATATATATATATATATATATATATATATATATATATATATATATATATATATTTATATAAGCGGGGGGGGGGGGCGCCAAATTGAAAGTTCGCCCCGGGCGCCGGGAAGGGTCGCTACGCCTCTGCGCCCCCCCCCCCCACCATCCTCAAACAAACGACTTTAACATTTCTTTACACACTTACACACACACACACGCACACGCAATATATATATATATATATATATATATATATATATATATATATATATATATATATATATATATATATATATATATATATATATATAATATATATATATATATATATATATATATATATATATATATATATATATATATATATATATATATATATATCAAGATAGATGTTTCTGATTTCTATCAGTTATCGACCTGATACTATAACAGGAAATGGCGCCCGGAAAACGTGCTAAAGTTTCGCAGGCTGTCGCCGCTAAAAGGAGCTCGACGTCACGAAGTGCTCCATCTGTCAATATGACAGTCAATGTCACTGTCAACCAAACCAACGTCCGTGGGGGTGGGGTTGGTGTCACCATTATCCAGGGGGCAACGACCAGGATGACACTGAACAGATTCGGTCTGGGTACTCTCAACAGCTGGAGTAGCCGAATGGTCAAAGCGAGGAACGGCAGCCGACTGGTCAGTTACACCTTCAGCAGTAATGTCATCAGTGGTAGTTTGGCAAGGTACGTAACTATGTTAAAGATCACGTAAAAGTTAGTATAGGGAATTCGGACCGGTCAGTTCTAAAGCCGTTCCGGAATTTTCCCGAAGATAACGCCTATCTTATACTGACCCCCGCGGGTAGGCTATATATACGACCTCAAGAGTTATGATTGGGTTTGTACGTCCAGATTTTAATATTTATTTTTCTTTACAAAAACAGTACTATGTTTATATACGGAAATATGGCCTCTGGTCAGTTCAAACATTGTTCCGGAATTTTCCCGAGGGTAGCACAATTTTATTCCTGACCCCCTGGGGGTCAATGTACATCTCCAAGAGTTTTCAAAGTCTTCCTACGTGGGAAACTGTTTTCGATATATAGCACATATATGGAGACTTTCACTCGTGGTCACTTTTTAGCCCTCGCCGTTCGAGCAGCGGCTGACCGATACTTTATCCATAAAGCCGATTCATTTACCCAGGTCTGTGCAAAACATGAGCCAGGTATACAACTCCAAAGTTCCAAGACATTGTTTTGAAAAGAGTCATCGTTTTTCAGAAAATTAAAATATAATATATATATATATATATATATATATATATATATATATATATATATATATATATATATATATATATATATATATATATATATATATATAATTAAAATATAAAATATTTTGCATTATTTCGTATCTTTTAGTGGGAGCACAAATTAAGTTAAAAATAGCTCATTACTCATCGGAAGCCATCCAACGCTAGACTTTTATCTAGTACTGACGTTGTTTTCTAATTTTTGCAACACGAATGGGGAATTCCCTGTCGCCAGCACCCTAACAAAATGTTACAGAACAGTATGGAATCTTTTGTTTGTATTTTAAATGTGAGTCTCGATTTGTAGATTGTAAACAAAAAATATCAAGAGTGTTACACTACCATTTTAAATCAGGCGCACAGGTAGTACACATTATAAGGTAATTGTTGTGAGGTTTTTGAATATTTTCTGCGGCATCGTTGTATTAACATTATGTCCATGTATCGCTAATTCAGAACTAGACAATGACTAGAGTCTAGACAGATGCGATTATAGCACTAGCTAAATTAAGATCTAGACTAGATCTAGATTTAGGTATCTAGGTGCTGAATCATTCATAATCTTAGCTCTAGCCCTTAATTATCTTCGTAATTAGTCCTCGACTTGAAATAACCTAAAGCCCTTAGCCCTTACCATAACCTATACTTGTACTTTGTCCTAGGGTTAAATTATCCATTGTCTTAGCCGTAGCCCAAAAACTATCATAAGCTATGGCCTTAACAATATCATCAGAGATGGCCCTAAAACTATCATCAGACATAGCCATAGCCCTAAAACTATCATCAGACATGGCCCTAAAACTATCATCAGACATAGCCATAGCCCTAAAACTATCATCAGACATGGCCATAAAACTATCATCAGACATAGCCCTAACTTTATCATCAGACTTAGCTTTTTACGCTATCCCTTGGACATAGCCCCAGCAATGACACCGTCACTTTTCCTAAGGTTAACAGCATCCATAGATATTCATACCCCTAACCCAACCAGTCTCTAGACTTAGTCCTAACCCAACTACTGTCTTTAGACTTAGTCCTAACCCAAACACTGTCTGTAGACTTAGTCTTAACCCAAACACTGTCTCTAGACTTAATCCTAACCCAACCACTGTCTCTAGACTTAGTCCTAACTCAACCACTGTCTCTAGACTTAGTCCTAACCCAAACTCTTCTAGACTTAGTCCTAAACCAAACATTACCTCTAGACTTAGCCCTAACCCAAACATTACCCCGAGACTTAGTCCTAACCCAAACACTATCTGTGAACTAAATCTTAACGATCCCTAGACAAAGCCCAAGCACTGTTACATTTTGTACACAATTTCGAACCCTCTTTCCCCAGACAGTCCCAACAATAACACTGCGTTTACATTTGCAAAATGTATACTATATGTCTAGAAAAAATAACTTCGCCATAAACTAGTAGCCCCCCCCCCCCCCCCCATACATGATCTGATACAATTAACTTATGTGAAATTTGTTATATTTACTTTCTAGACGTGTATAGCATACATTTGGCATGTGTAAATGTGGTGTTACTCTGTCCCTTTACACAGACTTATCCCAGACACTTACGCTACTTTGTTCCCCGTATATTTTAGATCAGGCACTGGTTAGCTAAGCGACAGGTTGTATTTTGTCTCATCTGTCCACTTGTGACGTCAGACACAGCGATGTGATGCGGGGATGGATTGTTGTGACGCTGCCGCTTGTGGTCATCGCCTTACTCACGCGGGGGACAACAAGTGGTGGGTGCACGTGCGTGAGTATGTCACGTGTGTGTGTCACGTGTGTGAGTATGTCATGTGTGTGAGTATGTCACGTGTGTATGTCATGTGCGTGAGTATGTCACGTGTGTGAGTATGTCATGTGTGTGAGTATGTCACGTGCGTGAGTATGTCACGTGTGTGAGTATGTCAAGTGTGTATGTCATGTGCGTGAGTATGTCACGTGTGTGAGTATGTCGTGTGTGTGAGTATGTCATGTGTGTGAGTATGTCACGTTGGGCTAAAGATAAACTCCGGAAAAACCAAGCTAATGAAAATAAAAACCAAAAGTGCTCTCAAGACCTTTGCGAATGGAGCAGAGCTAGAAGAGGTCGAAGACTTTAAGTACCTCGGCAGCTATATATCAGCAAATGGCAGCATGGAGAAAGAAATTGCCACCAGAATAGCAATGGCAGCACAAGCTTTCAACAGACTCGCTAAGATCTGGAAATCATCCTCACTGCAGCAGAGAACTAAAATAAGGATCTATAAGTCTAATGTACGTTCTGTACTCCTCTATGCTGCAGAGTCATGGAAACTAAACAAGAAAGTAGACAGCCGACTCAGAGGCTTTGAAAGAAGATCCCTCCAACGCATCCTCAGGATAAAGTGGGACGACAAAGTCCCGAACAAGGAAATATGGCGAAGGACAGGATTAAACGACATTGTCTCAGAAGTTAGAACGAGGAGATGGAGATGGCTGGGCCATGTCCTACGCATGAGCAAAAAAAGACTCCCCAACATGGCGCTGAAGTGGAACCCACCCGGAAAGAGAAGTAGAGGAAGACCACTGGGAACATGGAGGAGGGAGATGGAAGAAGAAGTACAGGCTACTGGCAAAACCTGGCATGAACTAAAGTGGCTCGCCCAGGACAGGGTGGAATGGCGGAGATTTGTTGTTGCCCTATACTCCACAGGGAGTGATGAGGATTAAGTAAGTAAGTAACTGGTTAGCTAAGCGACAGGTTGTATTTTGTCTCATCTGTCCACTTGTGACGTCAGACACAGCGATGTGATGCGGGGATGGATTGTTGTGACGCTGCCGCTTGTGGTCATCGCCTTACTCACGCGGGGGACAACAAGTGGTGGGTGCACGTGCGTGAGTATGTCACGTGTGTGTGTCACGTGTGTGAGTATGTCATGTGTGTGAGTATGTCACGTGTGTATGTCATGTGCGTGAGTATGTCACGTGTGTGAGTATGTCATGTGTGTGAGTATGTCACGTGCGTGAGTATGTCACGTGTGTGAGTATGTCAAGTGTGTATGTCATGTGCGTGAGTATGTCACGTGTGTGAGTATGTCGTGTGTGTGAGTATGTCATGTGTGTGAGTATGTCACGTGTGTGAGTATGTCACGTGCGTGTGTCACGTGCTTAAGTTTATCATGTGCGTGAGTATGTCACGTGTGTGAGTGCGTGCGTGCATGTTTGAGTGTGTGTGTAAACATTTGTAACTGCACAGGTAAATATATTGCATTAGTTGTGTGCTAATTATAACAAAACATAAATGTACATGCCTGTTTGCAGGTATGTTTGCGTGTGTAAGCGTGTATGTGTACGCGTATTTGTGTGTACGTGTATGCTTGTGTCTTCGTGTATCCTTGTGTGCGTGTTTGGGTTAAGTGTGTCGGGCTCTTTCGTCTAGAGTCTAGAGGATAATGTAGGACAACACAATACTTATAACACAATACAATAGACTCGACAATACTAATGGGGATAATAAATAATAAGAATAGCGTTTAATTACATAAAGATAATTAATACAAGAATTACGATACAACAATACCCAACACACTCGTCCTCTCTCTATCCACAAAAGCCTACCAACTGCCACACACTAACACACTCTCTGTCACTCGTCAACTGCCACACACAACACACTCACTGTACGTGAACACCTCTCATCCCAAAACACAACAAACCAAGGGCTACAACTACGAACAAAAGCGGGTACCTTAACACACCAGGCTACACTCAGTGACTCACACAATCAGGGATGGTATCCGTGAAGGACTTAGCACAGAGATGCGTGTGTTTGGATGTATTTTCTGTGTGTTGTACGTGAGCCATGAAGCTCTGACAGTAACACGTCTCACGTCTGCCTACTCCCCCCCCCCCCCACCCCCAGCTCAATGTGAATATGGCTTCTTCGGCCCAAGATGTCAGTTTAAGTGCCACTGTGACCAAATGAGCTGTGACGACAACGGTTACTGTACGGGCGGTATGGCATGCGACCCTCCATACTTTGGACCGGCTTGCCAGTATGGTGAGTCTGTACACAGAATTGTTAGACTGCCCACGTGATACACATAGAACACACACACATAACCTAAAACTAGCTCTCTTAAGTCTTAGTTCCTAGAGCTTACATGATTACATCTGATAGGGCTAGACGTAGGGGGTAGGACTTGAGGTAATAATTGGGGTAGAGCTTGAGGTAATCAGTGTTTCTTCCAGACTGTTTTCCCCAGGGTGGGGGGGGGGGCACTTGAAATTTTCGGGGGGGGGGTAGACTTTCTTCGGGTGGGGGGCGTATGACTGGAAGAAAGTCTGGAGGTAATACTTGGTAGAGATTTGGGTAGGGTTTAGGGCTTGATAGGGCTTGGGGTAGTTCTTGGGGTAGGGTTTGAGATAATATTTGGGTTAGGGCTTCGAGTAGGGCTTGAGGTAATAATTGGGGTAGAATTCAGCTAGAATCACCAGTCCTACACTAGACTCGTGTTACCTGTCCCTCCCCCCCCCAGTGGACAGGTCCCCGCTAGCCGACACGGACAACCAAGAGCTGACCGACTTCAACGACGCCACCTGCGTGACGTCTGCCACCACACATACCGTGACCTTCACCTTCAACTCCTCCGCTCCCGTGGTGATACAGTTCGTCCGCTTGAGGGTGAGTAACCCAGGTGAGTGTCTGGTGCATGCTGCTCAGTCTCGTGGGTCCACTTCATCCGTGTGAAGGGAGGGGGTGGGATAGTGGATATGGGGAAAATGTTAAAGATGTATTTTGATATTGGTAATTTGAAGAAATTTAAAATTTTAAAAGCTCCTTGGCTATTAAAACTTTCCTAAATGATAGCATAACATATTTTCATAAATGCGATAGGCTTGAAAGAGTGGATAACAAATAGTTTTAGATAACAAGACTAATTTTCACTGTTTACCTCATAATTAAATAGCTTAACCCATCGGCCACCAGATTACAGAGACCTCATCCAGGCAACCATCGTGGGTTCTATTCCCGGCTGCACCGACAAAGTCCGCGTGGAGGTGGATCACGTGACCTCTGACATCTACTGCCGCAACTTTGTCCCTGTGGTCACCGTGAGGCTGACGGGTGATGGCGTCAAGTATCTGTGTACGGTCCACCACAGTGGGGGTAAGTGTGTCTGTACAGTCCACCACAGTGGGGGTAAGTGTGTCTGGTCCACTTCAGTGGGGGTAAGTGTGTCTGTACAGTCCATCACAGTGGGGGTAAGTGTGTCGGAACGGTCCACCACAGTGGGGGTAAGTGTGTCTGGTCCACCACAGTGGGGGTAAGTGTGTCTGTACAGTCCATCACAGTGGGGGTAAGTGTGTCGGAACGGTCCACCACAGTGGGGGTAAGTGTGTCTGGTCCACCACAGTGGGGGTAAGTGTGTCTGTACGGTCCATCACAGTGGGGTAAGTGTGTCTGGTCCGCCACAGTGGGGGTAAGTGTGTCTGTACGGTCCACCACAGTGGGGGTAAGTGTGTCTGTACGGTCCACCACAGTGGGGGTTTAAGTGTGTCTGGTCCACCACAGTGGGGGTTTAAGTGTGTCTGGTCCACCACAGTGGGGGTAAGTGTGTCTGTACGGTCCACCACAGTGGGGGTAAGTGTGTCTGTACGGTCCACCACAGTGGGGGTAAGTGTGTCTGTACGGTCCACCACAGTGGGGGTTTAAGTGTGTCTGGTCCATCACAGTGGGGTTAAGTGTGTCTGTACGGTCCATCACAGTGGAGGTAAGTGTGTCTGGTCCACCACAGTGGGGGTAAGTGTGTCTGGTCCACCACAGTGGGGGTAAGTGTGTCTGGTCCACTTCAGTGGGGGTAAGTGTGTCTGTACAGTCCACCACAGTGGGGGTAAGTGTGTCTGTACGGTCCACTACAGTGGGGTAAGTGTGTCTGGTCTACCACAGTGGGGTTAAGTGTGTCTGTACAGTCCACCACAGTGGGGGTAAGTGTGTCTGTACGGTCACCACAGTGGGGGTAAGTGTGTCTGTACGGTCCACTACAGTGGGGTAAGTGTGTCTGGTCTACCACAGTGGGGTAAGTGTGTCTGTACGGTCCACCACAGTGGGGGTAAGTGTGTCTGTACGGTCCACTACAGTGGGGTAAGTGTGTCTGGTCTACCACAGTGGGGTAAGTGTGTCTGTACGGTCCACCACAGTGGGGGTAAGTGTGTCTGTACGGTCCACCACAGTGGGGGTAAGTGTGTTGTACGGTCCACTACAGTGGGGGTAAGTGTGTCTGTACGGTCCACTACAGTGGGGTAAGTGTGTCTGGTCCACTTCAGTGGGGGTAAGTGTGTCTGTACAGTCCACCACAGTGGGGGTAAGTGTGTCTGTACGGTCCACCACAGTGGGGGTAAGTGTGTCTGTACGGTCCACTACAGTGGGGTAAGTGTGTCTGGTCTACCACAGTGGGGGTAAGTGTGTCTGTACGGTCCACCACAGTGGGGGTAAGTGTGTCTGGTCCACCACAGTGGGGGTAAGTGTGTCTGTACGGTCACACAGTGGGGGTAAGTGTGTCTGTACGGTCCACTACAGTGGGGTAAGTGTGTCTGGTCTACCACAGTGGGGTAAGTGTGTCTGTACGGTCCACCACAGTGGGGGTAAGTGTGTCTGTACGGTCCACTACAGTGGGGTAAGTGTGTCTGGTCTACCACAGTGGGGTAAGTGTGTCTGTACGGTCCACCACAGTGGGGGTAAGTGTGTCTGTACGGTCCACCACAGTGGGGGTAAGTGTGTCTGTACGGTCCACTACAGTTGGGTAAGTGTGTCTGGTCCACCACAGTGGGGGTAAGTGTGTCTGTACAGTCCATCACAGTGGGGGTAAGTGTGTCTGGTCCACCACAGTGGGGGTAAGTGAGTTTGGTCCGCGACAGAGGGGGTAAGTGTGTCTGGTCCACCACAGTGGAGGTAAGTGTGTCTGTACGGTCCACCACAGTGGGGGTAAGTGTGTCTGTACGGTCCACCACAGTGGGGGTAAGTGTGTCTGCACGGTCCACGACAGTGGGGGTAAGTGTATCTGTACGGTCCACCACAGTTGGGGTAAGTGTGTCTGTACGGTCCACCACAGTGGGGGTAAGTGTGTCTGTACGGTCCATCACAGTGGGGGTAAGTGTATCAAGTACTAGCATTAAACCTACCTACATCTGGGGCCTATTCAAGAGGCATTTTGAAATAGTTTCTCTACCATAAAGGTGGTCCTAGCCCAAGCCTTAAATTAACCTAGCACTGACCCTTGCCTTGCCTCTCCTAGACCCTAATTTAAATCGACTCCTTAGACCGGATTAAGATTATTGTAGTTTTTTTTAATCATTAATACTTTACTCTTATTATGTCAACAACGAATAACCATTGAACCATCCCCTCACCAAGGTCGAAATATGGCCTTGAGACAAAGAACAACCAGCTCGGTACCGGAAAGAGGCACCACAGCTGACATGGGGGTCGATGACGAGAACGAGTCTCTGGACTCCACCACCTGTTTCCTGACCATGTTCTCCTCGGAGACCCGCCAGCTGCCCACCTGGTCGGTCATCTTCAGCACACCTGTCAAGGTGTTTTCTGTCTTCATCCAGAACAGGAAAGGTGAGGGGTTGCTTACGTGCTGGTTCTGACTGATCTTACTTTGCTCTTTACTCAACAATCTTACTTCACATTTTACTCAACAATCTTACTTCACATTTTACTCAACAATCTTACTTCACATTTTACTCAAACAATCTTACTTCACATTTTACTCAACAATCTTACTTCACATTTTAGCCAACAATCTTATTTCGCCATTTACTCCGACAAAGTTAACCAATCTTATTTCGCACTATTCTGAATAATCTTACTTCGCATTTTACTCGACTTATTACTTCGCGCTAAATTGACAAGTTTTACATATTGAAGACCTACTGGAAAAGACAATAAATCCAGTGCACGTCTTCAGATGGTATTTTGGAAATGTTATAGAATCACCTCCTGTTACAGATGGTATTTTGGACATGATGGAAGATGTAAGAGTGGAATGGTTCAGCAACACCACTCAGTTGTACCAATTCGTCTGCACCACTCCGCAGGAAGAGTATTACATCCCTTACATAGGTCCGACCAACATGTCCGTCACATCGCTCTCTGCGTGGCCGGAAAGGCAAAATTCACGCGTGGGAAACACCGTGTTGTCTTTCTGTGAGCTCAACGCGCACGGGGGTGAGTGGGTTTGTCGGGGTGGATTGATGGGGTCAGGGGTGGATTGTGTTGGGGGTCAGGGGTGGATTGTGTTTGGGTCAGGGGTGGATTGTGTTGGGGGTCAGGGGTGGTTTGTGTTGGGGGTCAGGGGTGGATTGTGTTGGGGGTCAGGGGTGGTTTGTGTTGGGGGTCAGGGGTGGTTTGTGTTGGGGGTCAGGGGTGGATTGAGTTGGGGGTCAGGGGTGGATTGTATTGGGGGTCAGGGGTGGATTGTGTTGGATCAGGGGTGGTTTGAGTTGGGATCAAAAGGTTGATTGAGTTCACATTGACTGTAATAAAGCGCCATAGTGTAACCACACAAAGGCAAACTAGATGTCCCATATCCACAGCTGTTCTTAGTAGTGGCGTAGCCAGGATCGTCTCATTGGGGGGGGGGGGTTAATTTTTCCCAGCATTATATATATATATATATATATATATATATATATATATATATATATATATATATATATATATATACTTATATATATATATATATATACTAGCTGTGTGTCATTGCTTTGCTGTGGTGTAAAATAAATTGAAAGTAGTACTCTGAAGAAATAAGAAAAAAAACATAATGTAGGCCGACAAAACAAAACAATTGATCACTCTAAACAAAAAATAGATTTAAATAAGTAACAGTGGTATTATGACAGTAAATTTTTTTTTACAGAGGGGTCCATGGGGGGGTTGTAGCCCCCCCCCCTCCCCCCACCCCACCCCCCTTCTACCCCGCCTACGTCACTGGTTCCTAGCCTCGAAATGCCCCGTGTCCACAACTGTACAGAACCTCAAATTGTCCCATATACCCACCCATTAAAATATCACGTGTTCACCAGACTGCCTTGAAGGCACCTCAGGTCTAGATTGTTCTGGAACCTGCTCTCACTGTGCCAGCAAACTCTGCAGCATCGAAGGAATCTGCTACGAATGTTCCAGAACAAACGGTCTGTTGACCTGTCATAAATGTAAGTCATTCAGGGTAGAATACAACAACAGAATCATTTTACTTTAGATTTTTATTATATCTTTTTTGAAGAATCTGCATGAACAAATACGATTATAATAAAACTAGGACAAAAATGACTATTAAACTAAACATAGAAAACCTAAATAAAGTATTTCGTGAAATTGTATAGTTTTAGTTGAAAGTCTAGAAAGTAACTCAATACAGTGTCAGTTAAAACTGAAATTTTTAATGTATACGCTAGGGCTAAGGTTAAAGTTATGAAATATTTGGGTTGACAGCTAATCTCAATGTGTCTTAGTGATTGTTAATGGTTCGTTGGTGTACAATTTTTTTACTGGATATATCATCTTGATATTGTATTGAGCCAAATATTGCAATATTCTATTGACCTTAAAAATCTCTTTATTTTACTTTCTCTAACATCTTATTGTACTGAATGTATCTCTTCTATATTTAAACTAACCGTAGCATCTCAATATTACACTGCCCATAATGTATCTATTCTATATTTAAAGTGACCATAGAATCTCAATATTACACTGCCCATAATGTATCTATTCTATATTTAAACTAACCATAGCATCTCAATATTACACTGCCCATAATGTATCTATTCTATATTTAAACTAACCTTAGCATCTCAATATTACACTGCCCATAATGTATCTATTCTATATTTAAACTGACCATAGCATCTCAATATTACACTGCCCATAAAATATCTATACTCTAGTGTGTCTGAACTGCTATATGAACCGCTGTGATTGGAAATCCCATGTGTGTACTGAAGGATGTGAGACCGGCTACTACGGCAGTTACTGTGATAAGAGTAGGTTACTGCACGTTCATTTGTTGCTTTGATGCAATAAAAGCAACAACACAAAATTATCATCCAGCTGACAAATTTTTTCTTATGTACGGAGTGTATTTTGCTCTACTCCTCACCCTTCTACACCTCACCCATCCAAGTCTCGCTGGTACACACCTCACTCCTCCATGCCTCACTCCCCACACCCCAATTATTTACGCCACACTCCGCCACACCTCTCTCCCCCACATATCACCCCCACATCTTACTCTCGCACACCTCACTCCCTACACTTTCTCCCACACACCTCACTCCCAAAACTTCCCCACCACAACTCACTCCCCCACATTTCACTCCCCCCAAATTTCACCCCACCCCACATTTCACTCCCCACATGCCTCTCCCCATACCTCACTCCCCACACCTCACTCCCACACACCTCACTCCCCCACATCTCCCTCCCCCACAGAGTGTGTTGGCCGATGTGCCGTCAACCAGACGTGTAACAGACGTGACGGCGCGTGTGCGTTCGGCTGTGTCGCTGGCTACACGGGACCCACCTGCAAACAAGGTCAGTCATGACGTCACGCACGGTCAGTCATTACGTCACACAAGGTCAGTCATTACGTCACACAAGGTCATTCATTACGTCACACTAGGTCATTCATTGCGTCGCACTAGGTCAGTCATTACGTCACGCAAGGTCAGTCATTACATCACACACGGTCAGTCATTACGTCACACAAGGTCATTCATTACGTCACCCTAGGTCATTCATTGCGTCCCACTTGGTCAGTCATTACGTCACGCACGGTCAGTCATTACATCACACACGGTCAGTCATTACGTCACACTAGGTCAGTCATTACGTCACGCAAGGTCAGTCATTACGTCACGCACGGTCAGTCATTACGTCACACAATGTCAGTCATTACGTCACACACGGTCAGTCATTACGTCACACAATGTCAGTCATTACGTCACACAATGTCAGTCATTACGTCACACAATGTCAGTCATTACGACACGCAAGGTCAGTCATTACGTCACGCAAGGTCAGTCATTACGTCACGCACGGTCAGTCATTACGTCACACTGGGTCAGTCATTACATCACACTAGGTCAGTCATTAAGTCACACTAGGTCAGTCATTACGTCACACACGGTCAGTCATTACGTCACACTGGGTCAGTCATTACATCACACTAGGTCAGTCATTAAGTCACACTAGGTCAGTCATTACATCAGCGTATATGGAGCTTAGCGACTATGTTTGTGGTGCTACTCTCGAGTGATGTCTTGAATAAGGCGGGGATAGATCTAAGACAAGGGGGGTAACGCCTTACTTCACGACTAACCTATCATAATCTCCTTCAACCTAACCCTTAATCCATCAATCCATCTCCGCTTATCATATTCCCTACAATCCTGCTCTACCATCCTGCTCCAGGTTCTCTTCCACCCATCCTCCCATCCTCCTCCCCCCACCACATCCATCAGCCCTCTCACCAACCCTCCCCCCACCCCATCCATCAGCCCTCTCACCAACCCTCCCCCCACCCCATTCATCAGCCCTCTCACCAACCCTCCCCCCCCCCACCACATCCATCAGCCCTCTAACCAACCCTCCCCCCACCCCATCCATCAGCCCTCTCACCAACCCTCCCCCCACCCCATCCATCAGCCCTCTCACTAACCCTCCCCCCACCCCATCCATCAGCCCTCTCACCAACCCTCCCCCCACCCCATCCATCAGCCCTCTCACCAACCCTCCCCCCACCCCATCCATCAGCCCTCTCACCAACCCTCCCCCCACCCCATCCATCAGCCCTCTCACCAACCCTCCCCCCCACCCCATCCATCAGCCCTCTCACCAACCCTCCCCCCACCCCATCCATCAGCCCTCTCACCAACCCTCCCCCCCCCCCCACCCCATCCATCAGCCCTCTCACCAACCCTCCCATTCCCCAGCTTGTGGAGGCTGTGCTGTGGACGGCTCGTGTGACGCCAGACAAGGCTTTTGTCGTCACGGCTGTAGGGCCGGCTTCAGCGGGAACAAGTGTGACAGTAAGTGATGGGAACAGGTGTGACAGTGACGGGAACAGGTGTGACAGTAAGTGATGGGAACAGGTGTGATGGGAACAGGTGAGACAGTGACGGGAACAGGTGAGACAGTGACGGGAACATGTGTGACGGGATCAGGTGTGACAGTGACGGGAACAGGCGTGACAGTGAAGGGAACAGGTGTGACGGGAACAGGTGTGACAGTGACGGGAACAGGTGTGACGGGAACAGGTGTGACAGTGACGGGAACAGGTGTGACAGTAAGTGACGGGAACAGGTGTGATGGGAACAGGTGTGACAGTGACGGGAACAGGTGTGACAGTAAGTGACGGGAACAGGTGTGACAGTAAGTGACGGGAAAAAGTGTGACAGTGTAAGTATATATATACTAGCCGTCCCGGCCAGGCCCTGCTCTGGCTTCTGTGAAAAACCCTTCTGTTAAAGACCATCACCTGTGTGTTTAGTAATCATCATAAACCCGGCATTGCCCACCCAAACCACAACCAACCAAAACCAAAACAACAAAACGCAAACATAACGCTAACACAATTACAAATACAAACGAAAACAAAAACTTACAACAAACCAACCACAACCACAAACACCAATACGAACACAAAGAAAAAAGCAAACGAAAACAAACCAAATCCAAACACAAAACCAACCACAAACACAAACCCAAAGAAAAAAACAAACGAAAAAGCAAACGAAAACAAACCAAATACAAACGCAAAACCAACCACAAACCCAAAGAAAAAAAACACAAAAGAAAAAACAAACGAAAACAAACCAAATCCAAACGCAAAACCAACCTTAAACACAAATACAAACACAAACCCAATGAAAATAAAACACAAACGAAAACGAAAAAAGAAAGAACAAAAACGAACCAAATCAAAACGCAACCACTAACGCAAACCCAACCTAAACACAAAGAAAACACTAACGCGAATATAAACGCAAAGTGCTCACGGGGCTGAATCGCCTACTTCAACTTAATAAACGACTATAGTACCCCAACTTATTCATAGTCTTTTGCACTCACTTTAATGAACGTAGGCGCGAAACCGAACACGGGAGGCCCGGGACCCCAAAAAGCACCCTGTCTGGGCGCCAGAGGACGCACCATGACGTCACCGCCTGATTGAACTTAGTAAACGCCTATAGTGCATAACTTATTTATAGTCTTTTGAACTCACGCGAACGTAGATACCATAGCGTACACCGGAAGGCCCGGGGCGCCAAATAGCACCCTGTCGCGGTGCCGGAGGACGCCCGGATTTGATTCACTTAAAGACTATAGTAACCTTTCTTATCCATAGTCTATCGCACTGTTTAAAACAAAATTATGCAGCATAGCGCTCACATGATAGCCCAGGGTGCCAAATCAAACCGTGCAGGGGCGCCGGCGGACGCGCCTGTTTCAATTTAGTGAACAAAAATGATAATACTCCAAGCTTATCCGTAAATGGAAAGAAATAAACGTATATGATTTGTAGGACCTGGCTTATTAAATGTTATTGATTTTTAAAAAAAAATAATAATTATTGAACAGTATGTTCAGTGTATAGAATAAATAAAAGGCAGTGTTAAAAATACCTAACGACATTGCACTTAATCAATCCCCGCTAATTGTGTAATTATTTTTTTTTTCTTAACACCAAAAACAAAGTAATAAAATGTTAATTCTCTCTTCTTAAGGATTTATTTTTCATTAAAGGGAAGTAACTTTGCAGTCAATACATTTCCGACACAATTTTAGAAATTTTATAAACGTCGATACACTTTTTAAAAATTTTATGTCGTGTTCATAATTGAAAATTATTCTTCTAAGTAAATAGAATGAAAATTGTTTTTAAAGACTTTCAATGGTAATTTTTTGACTCGTAAATTTAGACTTTAAGCACGATAAAAAATCTAACACTTAAATCCGTAGAAGTGTCAACGACAAACTTTTTTTTTGCCACACGTTACAGAACTGAGCTTTATATATTAGATATATATATATATATATATATATATATATATATATATATATATATATTATGTATGTATAAGCAATAGAGTATATTATTTGACCATGAATCTCCCCAGTAAAAATTCAACAAGTTGCTAACATTACATCAACCAGTCTCATCACTATCCTTGGCTTGATCGTCGGTGTCATCCTCTTCTGTTTGTGTTTGGTGAGGTTTCGTTCCTACGTGCTGGGCACGGGGGAGGATAAGAAAGGTGAGGTTTCGTGAGGTTTGGTGGGGGTTTGGAGGGGGTTTGGTGAGGTTTGGTGAGGTTTAGTGAGGTATGTTTGGTGAGGTAAGGTGAGGTTTGGTGAGGGTTGGTGAGGTAGGTTTGGTGAGGTTTGGTGAGGTTTAGTGAGGTTTGGTGAGATTTGGTGAGGTGAGGTGAGGTGAGGTGAGGTGAGGTGTGGTGAGGTTTCGCACTTCCTTCTGTTTTCTCTGGTGTGCCGTTGGTGCGATCACTCACAGGAGTGGGTATTGATGGGGAGGGGGAGTTCAGGCCTTAATACTTAATTTAATAAGAGGTGCTGCTATTTTAGTAAGAAGTCAATTCGTTATACAAATCCCCAGATATAATAAAATAAGGAAGAATTTGTTTTCCCTTAAAAAAAATATCATTTTGATGTGTCGACTCTAGGCGTTGGTCAGTGTGAGCCAACTAAGATCATTAGCTGCTGTCGGTGTGATCTGATCGGTGACATAAAGTGTTGCTACATTACTGTAAGCACGGAAATAACTTTTACATAACTACAACGTGTCTCGTTAGCCATGCTATTAGAGTACCCAGTACAACAGTAGTAGATGGTGTAATGTTTGCTTCAAATGTATTGATCACCCCCCTCCCCCACTACAGGTGCCAACGTGTGTAAAGTTTGATTAAATTGTATTGCTCACCCCATTCCCCCCTCCAACCCCCCCCCCCTCCACTAAAGGTACCAACGTGTGTAATGTTTGATTAAAATGTATTGATCACCCCCCCCCCCTACTACAGGTGCCAAACTTCCCGGCATAAAAACCTACGACGACCTGGAGTCCGTCACGACGGTCAGCACGATGTCCGAGTCTAGAGCCAGCTCCGTCTCAGAGACCCCCACAGACAAACGGGCCAAGGCGACCCGGCGTCAGAGTCAGCAGAGTGTTCGTCTGTCCGTGGCCAGGGGCAAGCGGGGGCTGTTTAAATAGGGCGCTGGTCAGTCACCAGTCCGGCGCTGGTCAGTCGTCGGTGCGGCGCTGGTCAGTCGCCTGTCTATCGCCAGGGCTGTTTAAATAGGGCGCTGGTCAGTCACTTGTCAGTCGCCGGCCCGGCACTTATACGTCGTCTTTCAGCCGTCAGTCCGCGCCCGACCTTCGTCTGTCAGTCGCCGGTCTGGCACTTGTCAATCGCCATTCTAGCACTAGTCAGTCGCCTGCCAGTCGCCAGTCCGGCGCTAGCTTGTATCATGTCAGTGTGGCGCCTGTCAGCGCTCAGTGCCACTGACAGAGCGACAGTGTTTATTTTATATGTGTAATTATGAATCAAGATATTTGTTGTAAGTATTCAAATAAAACCTGCATGATATTGAGTGTCGCGTTATTTTAGTTTCTTAGTCTATTTTTACATTAACGTAGAAGACTTGTGTTAGTGGGGGATGGAGTAAAGACAAGCTCTAGTGAAAGTGGTGCGCCGGCATGTTGTATTGGTGCCATGTTTTGCTGGTATCCCTGCACTAGCTAGCACTAAACCAAACCTCACTCTGAATTGAACTATCCCTGCTCCAATTCATTTACAATTACACTGCAGTATTAAACTGACCCTAACGTTAATACCGGCTGAAGAAAATACTTGACCGATTTAATGATGGCTAATCGGCATTTGTAAACAGTCTCTTTTTAGATAGTTTCCTGTGTATGTTGGGGGGGGGGGGGGGGGGCACTTAAATTGTCACAGGGAGCGGACAATAGTTAAAATATATATAAAGGAACTGTAAAATTCAAACGAGACACCCTCTTATATTTTTCTATTGATGAGATAGCTTATAGGTAACCCATACGGATCTACAGGATGCTTTTTTTTTTTAATTTTTAACTGAATGTCGATGTAAATCGCATGATTAAATAGCAGCGATCACTCTATCG